ACCAAGCAGACAACGTCGGTTCATCCGTTTCCCATTGGAGTCCTCGCGTCTCACTAAGGCCGGCATGCCTCAAGGTGCGCACTTTGCTACAGACTGGCTAACAGGCAGCAATTGCCCGCACATCAGAAACCCTATCGAGCGGCATTTGCTGTTTATCGGAAATCAGCCTGCAAGATTCTAGCTCCGTGCTTACTCTGCGATCCCCCCACATGCGACACTGACGGCACATTCTCATTGCGCCTGTTTGGCGATGATGCAGTTTCAAATACCGGTCAAGCTGGCTTTGGCATTGGTTTGAGTCCCCAGGCTGAATCTGCCTTGAGCGATCGGATCCCAGTAAACAGTAGTATGTGCGCCGCTAGAGTAGCTGGTTCCTTCCATGCTACGAAATCGCGCGGGAACAAACGGTTCCTGCTTGTCACTGGAACCTACGCCCCTTCAAACTGTAGCACTGATTCGGTGAAAGATGATTGCTATCAGCAACTTCACGATCTCCTTCATCACAGAAGCAGCACGAATACTGTGGTGTTGACTGGCGATCTAAACGTCCAAGTCGGAAAACTGTCCTCCGATGAGCTTCATCTGGGCGGCCAACATGGTGTAGGCTCCCGTAATGATAACGGTGAGCGATTGCTACAGCTGTGTGAAGATGCTCGTCTATTTCTCGCGAGCACAAACTTTCGACACAGCACCCGCAGAAGCGAGACTTGGCGTCCACTAGCTTCGCACCAGCCATGGACGCAAATCGATCATATCGCGATTAGTTATCGCTGGAGAGGCTGTGTCCAAAAATGTCGCTTGATTTTGAGCACGAGTGTGGACTCTGACAACGCACTTGTCTGCGCCGACCTCCGGTGCGTTTCGGTGGACGTCCGCAACATCGATGTGAACGAATTGACACCAGCCAGCTGGCGAAGCCAGGTGTTCTGAATATGTATCAAAGTGCGCTGACATCTGGGCTGTAAGCTCTCACTGAACACCGTCGAAGATCACTGGTCGCATTTTCGTCAAAAGTTACTATCAGCAGGCATGTCTTCATGTGGCAAATCAAATTGCCAAACTGGACACTGAGTCACTACACAGTCCCTGGAACTTATGGATGCTCGCCGACGTATTCCGGCTGGAAGCAAATACAATGAGGTTCGTGAAAATCTCAAGGCAAAACTACGTGCTAGCCAGAAGAAAGACCGCGAAACCTGGTGGTCTCATTGTACCTCTGAGAAGGAAACAGCCGCTACCGTTGGCAATCATCGTAAGTTATTCCGTCTGATACGGGAAACAGGTAGCAGGAGATCTGGTGTTAGCGAGAGTGGGCAGATCCATAGCCTGTCAAAACGTTTGGAGCCTTGAGCTGAACACCATGTAAGGCATTTTAACCAACCTGAGTTCTCGATTTCTTTTTCGGGCATTGAACGCTCTTCTCCCTCGGCCGTCTCCCTGGATTCGCTCTCACGCGCAGAAGTTGAACGTGAGATCAGGCTGTTGAAATTTCATAAAACCGCAGGGTCAGAGAGAATTTCCCCAGCCCTCTTCATACTCGGGGGACCTGCTTTAGTAGATGATTTACACGAGTAGCGAATGAAACTTTGGGAGCAGAAGACTGCCCCAACAGACTGGAGCCGCTCCGTCATTGTCCCGATTTTTAAGGGAGGCTCCCGTTCGGAATGCAGCAATCGTAGAGGGATCAGTCTGATCTTAATTGCCTCTAAATTTCTTGCGTCAGTCATTCACCACAAACTGACTGGCACTCGTGAAAGCCAGATTCGTGAAGAGTAAACCGGGTTTTGTCGAGGTCGAGGCTACATCGACCACATTTTCACCTAGTGCCACGGTTGTCGTGTTTCTTGACATAAAAAGTGCCCTCGACTCAGTCAATTGATGTGCCCTTTGGGACTGTCTGCTGAGGAAAGGTGTACCTGATAAATACGTAAATATTGTTAAAGCGCTGTACGCGCATAGTCCGGGCAGAGTTATGGTTTATGACAGACTGCGGCCACCTTTCAGTATCACCAGCGGTGTGAGACAAGGTTGCCCACTGTCACCTTTCCTCTTCATCTTCGCTATTGATTAAGTCATGGAAACAGCGTTCGCTGGACAAGACCTAGAAGATGTGGAGTCGGCCGGTGGCCGAGTGGTCTGCACGTTTGCTTTGCAACCATAAGGTCACCGGTTCGAATCCGCGTAGGGGTGGGCGTCCTCGCGGTATACTTAGCCCGTGCGCGACTGGTGGTGGTCGCGCGGCATCGAAGCGCCATTACGGCGTATAGCTGGCACATTATTTATTAATTTTATTAGAATGTGTGGAGCAACTTCCTGGAGAGCGACCTCGACTTGGAGTACGCGGACGATATTGCCCTAAGCTGTGACAGCTCCCAAACATGTCAAACAGAACTGGATTGATTAGCACTGGCTGTCAACCGTTTTGGGCTGTTTTGCTCCATCAAAATGCAAACTAATTCTAAGATTGTCAGAGACCCACCCCTGCGCTAACGCTTGGTGGTGAACAGCCAGAAATCGTCTAGGAATCCAAGTACCCGGGCAGTTATATTAGCGCACGTGGGATCGGAGATGAGGTTACGAACCGTATAGCAAAAGCTCAAGGTGCTTTTGCCAATCTTCGCCACATGTGACGCAGACGCGACATTACTCTCGCACTGAAGGGCAGAGTTTATAACGCAGCCGTCCGTTCAACCCTCCCGTACGGTTGTGAAACCTGGCCCATCAGGTCGACAGACATAAAGAGGCTCGTCACATTTGATTATCGCTGCCTTTGTAGCTTAGCTCATGTCTGGTGGGAACACCGCGTGAGCAATGAGCGTGTTCGGCATGGCGTATTTGGTGCAGGAAGAGCGAGCGAACCACTCAACACCATTATATCACACACCAAGATCCGATGGCTGGGCCAGGTGTTGCGCATGCCAGCACATCGACTCCCACGATGTGCCTTGTGTGCGCGCCGGGGGTGCGGTTGGAAGAGAAGTGGAAGCCAAGCGATGACTTGATCGAGAGAGATGAAAACTCTCACTTGGAAGTTGGCGTCGGTTGGTGCATCCTGACCGCCTGGCTGGGGTCCTAAGGACGATGAACACGCTTGGTTGGACACACTTGCTGATATGGCTAAAAGCCGGCTCCAATGGTGTGTTGTGTTCCTTTGTCCATCCCCTCCTGCTTAGCCTCCCGATCCAAGCACGATCTTACATTTTACGGCACGATAACCGACTGTTAGCTCTCCGAAACGATGTCCATCCGTTACTGGGGACTCAGCGGGCGTGCCACTGTTGCACTCATTTTCTTGTCTTTAGTATTGCGGCATAACAGCTGTTTTCCACCTGCAGCTAAAGTGTATAATGATGATGATGATACCCAAAGCTGCACAGGGAGATAGTTTACACATGGAGAACAGCATCGGTCCAAGGACCAAGCCTTGTGGGAGACAACTAAGGACCGCTCACCTAAAGGATAAGCTGCGACCCACGCGTACAGACTGCACGCTTTGCTGCAAGAATGTAGACATCTAGTGAAGGTCACGCCCAGATACATCGTAACAACGCCGCTTTTGTGAAAGCGTCAAGTTGGGTGCCGTGTCAACTGCTTTCGGAAAATCTAAGAGAGGCAGATCCACTAAGTAGCCATCGTATACAGAATCAGAAAAACTCTCACAAGCTACTAATAAATTCGTTAGACACGAAAATCCCATCCGGAATCTATACTGTGTACTACTGAGTAGATTAAATCTATTCAGGTGACCCTCCCACGAATTCCTCAACAGCTTTTCAAGCATCTGGGTGCTTATCCGATGCTGAGGCCACTGCTCCATGTCCGTGCGTCAAGCAGCACACGAGGTCACCAGTACAAACTGGTAGTCCCTGACCTCAAGTGGGTAGCTCATCCCTTGTGTCTTGAGCGGCGAGTGGTGAACATGTGGAATCGTTTTCCCTCGCGGATAGTAGAAGCGAACTCGGTGTCGGAATTCAAACGATTCCTGGACGCGCACTTTGCGGATGCCAGACTCGACGAAGCCTTTACAGGAAACTGACGAAGGAATCGTTCAATGATTATAACTCATGGAGCCCGTTAATCCACCAACTGCAGCTTCCGAAACGATGCCCATCCGTAATAGGCGGCGGAGCTGGTGAAGGACTCCATGTGTTTCATCCAAGAATATATCGTAAGTACATGGAGTTTTTTTCTATGCTTGTAAATATTTTACTTTTTTCACCTGGGCTAGCTCACTACTACAGGTAACACTGTGTCAGTGGGACATGTCCTACATTGAGATATAGCTACATAGATGTTCAACATCTTTCTCGCTATCATGACAGTAAAGTAAAGTAAAGTTTGACTACGACGTTAATTTTACTGATTGGTTTATAATCGGCTGAGACTCCTGTCGCCATTTTTGAAGACAGGGCATATGGTAGCCTCCTTCCATTCAGAAGGCAACGTACAGATGTCAAGTGACTTCCGAAACACCGTCGTGAGCAGTCCCCTTAGTTCCGCCGTCAATCCATGCAAAGCTTTGGGTGAAGTTAATCAAGCCCAGATGCTTTAGGAGAGTTCAGTTCTTGCAGCAGCCTAAGGACTTGCGTCTCAACAACAGTAACTTCGGCTAAATAAGACGACCCTGGGACACAAGGAAGAAGTTCAACGCTTGTACGAGAGCCTCACACTCGACGTCAATTAAGAAAGAATAAGAAAGGTGTCAGCTTATACGCCGTAACGGCGCTTCGCTGCCGCGCGACCACCACCAGTCGTGCGCGGGCTGAGTATACCGCGAGGACGCCCACCCCTACGCGGAGTCGAAACGGTGACCTTATGGTTGCAAAGCAAACGTGCAGACCACTCGGCCCCCGGCCGACAACTCGACGTCAATTGGGAAAACGCATTAGGTCATCTGCAAGAGAACGAACTGAGTGAAAACAAAATTCACTTAAAACAAAGTTCATTTACGAAGTATTACAGGAAATGCAAACTACCGTCAGTGATGCAAACAAACTTACCAAGAAGCAGTCCGACGATGGTGCTCAGGTACCCAGAGCCACTTCCCACGTTTAGAAAGCTTTGCCCAGGAGATATGTCCAGGTTCTTCAAAGCCGCGACGTATATATTAGGAGCGGATAGATGGAGAGAACCGGAGATCCAAGCCAAATCCATATATGCCCGTGGGCTTTTCTCGCTAAAGTATTCGCCTCTGTCCACCAATCTCATGGCCCTTTCGACTTCAGTGGGCAAAGAGAGACCACTTTCGACAAGCTTATCAATTAGGGACTCATTATCCCTGCCGCGGCTTGCACTCGCCCCCATATGGGAGCGGGAACGCAGAATTCGCAGTGGTTAAAATCTAGGAACACCAGCAAGGTTGTGCAGTACAGGACAGGACAGGATCCAGGGACGAAACTAGCTTTCGCTTCAGCAGCGTCCGGTCTCTTTTGCCAGTTAGCGAAAAGAGCCCACAGCACTTCGACGTGATTAGATATTATTGCATTTACACTCGCTCTTGGGATTCCGGTAAGATTTGTTTTATCCTGCAAAAGCACTTAGATTTCAATGTGATTACTGATAATATAGATTATTATGGCTAAATATTTAGGGTTAGGTTTAGGGTTATGCTCGGACAATTACACTGTTGGTTGTTCATTTGTGGAAGTCATCATATCAAACACCGAAAGTATGTATAACAACCTATAGATTGAAATAAAAAGGTTATCCTAATATACCGTGTCGGTAAGTTCAAAGGAACAATAAGTGTGAAGTAATTATGTGACATTCACTGACAGCCCAGGATTATGCCCACAGCTTTCGAATTCCCGCCTTCTGCGAATCCTCCGCTCCTTGGGTGATTGCTGGTGGAGTCTCAACTGCAGTGCCAACACTCTAACTCGTTGAGAAGGGACAGTCAGTTTAGTTCAGTTCAGATAGGGACTGGAACGATAGGAGAATCCCGTGAGTGTTCCATCTTGAGTGGATCGTTGAGCCAGGAATTGATGAAGTGCTCAGTTATTGATGGATCTAAAACGGAAACACCCGTATCGCACCTTGGCCAACCAGTTAATGCCCACGTTTCCTGCCATAGCAGTCCCTGCTGTGGCAGTCACGTGAAGTAAGCAAAGGATAGGAAGAGAAATCGAAGGTGCAGAATAGGAAGTGCACTTAAATAAGAAAATAATACCAATACGTGAAGAAAAGTAGAGAAAAGAAAATCGAAGTACGAAGACGCGAGTTACTCAGGAAAATGGAAAGGTTTCGTGTTGCCACCCAAGAGCGTCAAGTTGCCGCTCAAACCCCTTAACCGTAGATTCCCTGATAACACTTTCCGGAAGCATGTTCCAGCGGTCGATGACTCTGCGTGACAGCCGGATTTCCGCCCTAATCCGATCGGATCGCGGTTTGTCCAGCTTCAACGAATGACCGCGTAGAACAGACAATCTATCGGGACTGAATAGCCAAGATAAATCTGGACCAACCTTCCCAGTCAAGATACGGTAGGTTAGGATTAGGTCTCCTCTAAGCCTTCGGTAGTGCATTGAATGCATTCCCAAACTAAGTAGACGCTCGGGTACGTCCGTCCCCGTAATCCCTCGACTAACGTAGTACCCGCCCGTAAAACCCACTCTAGCTCCATTTTGTCCTGGACGAGGCAGGGCGGACAAGCCTGGACGCAGTATTCCAGATGAGGCCGAAGGAAAGCCGAGAACAGTCTCGTAAAGATGCCGCCCGTAAAGACTCCCAAAGAACGTCGTATTAACCACAACATGCAGAAACCTCTGCTTGTGCCCTTCTTCCAGGTGTCGCCGGAGTGTAAAGCCGAAGAGTGTACGCCGCCTAGCTCAACCTGGCTAGATACACGGGTGCGTTTGGTCTTATCGACGAAGTACGTCGCAGGAGAAAAGCCTCCTCCAATTCAAAGAACGGAGCACTTTGCCTTATTTATTTGCAGTAACTATAAAATAGACCATTCCCAAAGCTTATTCAAGGCACAAGGAATATCTTTGGAAATCCCAAGAACATCGAAAATGTCCCACAGCTTCATGTCATCAGCAAATAGCAGCGATGGTACCTCAAGCTCCGCGGGTAGGTCAGTCACATAGATAGAGAACCACAGCGGTACAAGGGACCGAGCCCTGCGGTACGCCGCTGAGGACAGACTGCCTAAATGATAGGCCCCGGCCTACCGTACACACTGTTCTCTAAGCTCCAAGAAGGCAGTCACCCAATGAAGGGAATTTAAGCATTAGGTCGTTGTCCCATAACAGGCCACCTTGTTTTCATGGTTGACCTCAATTCTCGATCGATCTAAATTGGACACATAAGAGCTCAGAAGGACTGACCGAATGAATATTACATTATTGACTATAGCCTTTTAGGGGAACGCTAAATGGTGCACGTTTGTGGACGAAGTATGGAAAAGTGTTTGTTTTAGTGCGATGTTGCGGTTTCTCTGCAATGGCTGATTAGGCTGCAGATAATACTGTTACGTTCCGCGCTTATTTTACGCAATATTACACGGCATTTCAAGAATTCGAAGAGCTAAAGCGTTTTTAAGTGCAAGCTAAACCCAGTTTTTACAAAAATAACATTTTAAGGGTTGCGTCTTATAGGAAGCTGTCAAGTGAGCAGCTACCCGAAGAGTTACGGCACAGTTGGGTGCGATATCCTTGCAAGTATGGTAACTGGAACGAAAATGTTAGTAGTCTGTAAGTACGAACCTTGTTTTAAGTATCACCCATGTTGTATAGTCATGTCTGAATGGGTTGTGAGGCGGAGTGTCGACAGCTGTAAAGGGCATAAACTATGAGATAGGTAAGCATATCCTTGTGCACAATCATACATTCCACCTAAGGCTTCCAAGTTTATATTTCAGTGATCGAATCCTGTTTCCCCAAGCGGAGCGGCAAGTGGTGTTTTTGATGCAATCGTTCCGTAATTCCGGATAATTGTAGGCAATGTATTGGCAAGGTATAACATATGGTTAAATAAACAGGACCAGTTTCGCTCCGGCATTGTTTAGGTGGCACCTCTAAGGAAATGATGTGAATGCATTTGCAGATGCACTGCATTAGAATAGCGCCATGAGTGTGGAAGGGGATTTTTTACAGATATGCTACCTATTTTCCGTTCCTGCATCGGTGCCTTCCCATATAAAGTGATACGAGGACGTGATTCTGGCAGATGCCACGCATCTGTTTAACTGGGGTGTTTACATTCCTTGGAACTGCATGGTAATTGACGGTTTCGTCGTTGTTCGCAGCGTTTTCTACTCATTGAACCCGTACAAGATGGGAGGTAGTGACCTGGAGGTGACTCGTGCGATTTCAGCAACGTTGCCTATGACTAATTCTGTGAAGTCAATGGTAATGTATAGGTGCCTGGCGCAAAGAAGGCAGTTAAAATGGTGTATCCACGGGCCACCTAACTGAACAATAACCTTAGGTGCACGTACCCCTTTTGAGGACATACCTGCGATGCCCACCTGGCCACGGAAGGGATGCAGAACAATGCAATCATCCGCGCTTCGTAATCCTGACACACTAATGGAACCCGGAAAACTAAGCAACTCAATATAAGACTCCTGAGACGCTCGACTTCAACGGCTCTAACCAGTTGCACTCGACTCCGAAGGAGACAACTACACAACCCCAGGAAACAAATTAAATAAATAAATAATTATATTCTCGACGAAACGAGACACACCAGTACAGGCATGAACAAGATTTTGACAGAGCCATATAAACACTAAAAGTTGGTGTATGCCACACAACAGAAATACGCGTTGGCAAAATGCATGGCTTGCAAATTGCCCACAATATTGCAAAGGAATAATACAGAGATGAAGAGCTTGAGCAGTGGTCTCAAAGAGTAAGGTGGCGCCGGAACGCTGTACGATCACCAAGTGTTTCTATTATGGAAGTGCTGTGTGCGGGTTCGAGGGGTTCAGGAGGTTGATCTCCGTTTTTCCATTGGCGTAGGGGTCCGATGGTGTTTGATAAACACGTGATCGCAAATACGTGGTACTGAGATCATTCTTCGTGTGAAGCAGTGGGCAGTGACGTTATTTCGGTGGCGAGTCACATCCGCCACGTCACAGTGTCCTTAAACAGGCATTGTGTCTTTTTATGGGGAAAACGCTTGCCAAGCGATAACCCACCACGGCTTGGAACACTGCCGTTTATCACAACATATTTAACATTGAAATCCTAACGCCTTTGTAGGACCGATATTTCAAGCAGCTAATCGCAGTCATAGGACAGCTGATTTTCCGTTGGCTTGGCGGATGGCTTAGCCAAGATTCATCAGGAACGGTTGTGGGAAGCGGTACTGTACGGAGATAAGCTGTATGAATTGCGGTGCTGCGTTATTCAGGTAAGTATGGAGCTCAAATAAAAAGCAGTATTCTTGTCTGAGCAGATAGCCCACGGGCCAGGTGTGTGTCGCTGCTAGGTCCACGGGAGGTAACCATTGCAACTAAGTGGGACGCTTGAATGGAGAAGAGATTTCGAACGTTCAAGGAGGTAATAATGATTTGAACCCAATTGTTCAAACCGGTGGAAGGTGGGGTCCAAAAAACTTCCATATTATATTGGCCTGGACTTGATGGCAGACCGCACTGGCGATGCGTGTAACGCATCAATCGGATGCTGACGCCAGACTTATGAAGGATCCAGTACAATAAATAACCCACTGCCGAGTTGGACGGAACACAACGCCATGACATGTCAAGGAAGTTGAACACTTGCCGGTAGATGAAGCTTTCTTAAGGGGGTGTTCCGATAGGGATCATGCTTTGAAGCCAATTGTTCCAAACAGTGGAAGGTACGGAGCAAAAGGCTTCCATAATAGATAATCTTCCAGATGCCTAGAGTTGAAGGCGGTCCACAATGGCGAGGTGGGTATCGTATCCATCGGATACTGACGCCAAACACACGAAGGATCTGGTACAAGAAATAATCCACTGGCGAGGTAAACGAAACATAACGCCATGTGTAACATCCACTGTGAACGTTGAATAACGCGTAGCCAAAGATCCCGAAATCAAAACAAGTTGGATCGCAAATACTACGGTACTATTAAAATATATACAGTTGATAATTGGAACATACTTCAATTGTTCAGTATCCTGGTATATGCAAGTTGACAACACGGTGTCAGTAAAAAATAGGGGACGGTAGGGAACCACATGTCTACCCTGGGCAATCCAAGGCAAGTCACCGCATCTGAGTGCTACGAGTATTTAGGCTAATGGTGTTGACCAATCAAGGGATAGTCTACTCACAGGGTGAGAGTTTATTGGCATGCATAAACATGGTGTTTGGACAAGCGACCAGTGAATGGGGGAGGGGTGCGACACCTGTCCGGGCTGAACGTGTCCTGTTCGGCGAAGAGTAGGGTTAGAGATCCAAGGTCGTCAGTAGACGCACACGCACGGAACCAGTGCCGGAATTTGCATGCACACACAGACACACCTACAACGCTAACAATGGGAATGTAAGAAGGCGCACATGAAACGCTGGTCGATATCCATCAACGACCGGCCAAGCTCTGTAGACTAGACCACGAAGCGAAGAGTAGAAGAATTTCATGGGTAGATAAGCACGCTACACTGCCTCCCAAATTCTTCTTCGATTGACGTCTCGTACGTCCCCGACTCCACTCTGGCTCTCGGTCCTACAACTGCCTACAGTAGCGCTCCTTAGAAAAACAGAAGGGAAAGAAACGCAACCACACGAGAGCGTCTTGGCAGGAGCCGTTTTCCATGACTCCCACCAAGCGCCGTTCGTGGGCGTCTGTGGGCATCGAAGCGCTTGGGCGAAAGCCGTTTTCTATGACTACCACCCTGCACTCCAAGCCAGACTTAAGCGCTGCTACTCATCGCCCTCCAGGCGGCACA